ATAAAAAGTTAAAATTATGACTGTCAAAATTAAATTAAAAAAGTCAAAATTTAGATATTAAAACGTCTAAATTACTATAGCAAAAAGTTGAAATTACGACAGTAAAAAGTTAAAATTATGACAATAAAAAGTCGAAATGACAACATTAAAAAAAATCTAAATAACAAAGTTGAAATTATGACAACCAAGTCAAAATTGCAACAATAAAAAGTAAAATAATAAAAAAATTACTATTATAAAAAGTTGAAATTATGACAGCAAAAATTCGAATTGAATTCAAATTCTTGTGGAGAAGTGAAAAAGAACGATGACATTTCACCGTTTTATCAAACATTACACAGAATAATAACAAATGACTATAATGCACTGGCTAATGGGACCTTATTGTAAAGTGTTACCAAATAAATGTGTTTATAATGTGTATGTTTGTGGAGGTAGTCGCACATTTTGTTCCACACAATATTTAGCCCTTGTGAACAACATCATATTTATATCATGCATAAATCATAACTCATATCACTGCAAAAAATGCTTTTCTTACTTAGTATTTTTGTCCAGTCCAAATATCTAAATTCTTAAATAAAGATGTCTTTACTAAAGTAATAAAATGCCATAAGATATTATGTCTTGTTTTCTGGGGAAATAAATCAAAATTAAGTTTTTGCTTAAAACAAGCTAAATTATCTGCAAAAGGGGTAAGACAAATATTCTTGTTTCTGTTTGAATTAAGATTATTTTTCCTGCCCGATTTGCTGATAATTTTGCTTTTTTTAAGCAACAACTCACTTAATTTTCATGTATTTCCCCAGAAAAGAAGACATAATATCTAATGGCATTTGACTACTTTAGTAAAGATCTTTATTTAAGAATTTGTAGATATTTGGACTGAAAAGTGGAAATAATACACAAATACTAAGTAAGAAAAGCATTTTTGCAGTGCACTAAGTATGAGACTGTATAGATAACCGTGTGATGAAGCTGCAGTCGCTGCATAATCCATCAGATCTGCATTTCCATGTAAAGCGGGCCGCGAATCCCCTGTAAATGTAAATGATCGCATGTTTCCGGGCTTTGGTGAGACGTGCTTGAGCGGTTTCAGAGGTTATTTAGCAGCTCGGCTCTAAAGAAACATCTTTGTCTTCTCCGCTACGCTCTGATACCAATTATGCTAAGCGTTCGAGAATTTAAACAGGACCGTCTCTTATCAGCTAATCCTGGAGTTATAGATTCCATTAAAAATGCATGAGGAGCTTTACGGATGAATCCGCCGATGTTGCGTGTCTCTCTCTCTCTCTCTCTCTCTCTCTCTCTCTCTCTCTCTCTCTCTCTCTCTCTCTCTCTCTCTCTCTCTCCGTTATCTTCTCATTATTCTGATAGGATCCCGTTTCCACAGAGAGACGGTCTGTCAACTCATCCTACAGGAGCTGATCTGTACAAATCCTCCAAACCAAAGTCACTTTCCAAACCTTCAACCTGAGAACAAGAAGTCAATAGAGCTGATTCGACACCCCGGTCATGGAAATACCAGTGTAATTCTCTCATTAAACCATTACTGATGACTAACGGTAGAGCGATGTGTCGTTCAGGACCATTAATCGCACAATATTTGCCTGTTTTGAGAGTCTCAGCATGTTTGGTTTCAATAAAAGCTGTTTTTGGACTAACAAGGAAGTTCTGAAACGTATATTACAATGAACTCTTTCATCTAAAAAGATCAAGGAAAATTAGATTTCTCAATTCATGAGCCATTTAAACTTTTTAACAGCAAAGTAGAAAAGTTGAAAGTAGAAAATTATGACAGCAAAAAGTCAAAATTACGACATTAAATTAAAAGTTGAAATTATGGCAGTAAAAAGACAAAATTATGACAGTAAAAAGACAAAATATTATGACAGTAAAAAGACAAAATTATGACATTAAAAAGTGACAGTCGAAATTATTACTAAAAAGTCGAAATTACAATATTAAAAAGTCAAAATGACAGTCGAAATTATGACATTTAAAAAGTCGAAATTACGAAATTTGCTATTTACATTAAAAAAATCTAAATTACGACAATATAAAGTCGAAATTACAACATTCAAAATTATGACATTAAACATACTAAATCAAAATTATGACATTAACAAGTAAAAATTATGATAGAAAATTTTGACTTTTTGTCGTAATTAAGATTTAACAAAGCATGATTTAATTATTTTGTGGCAAAAATGGACTTCCATACTTCTGAGTTTTGTTAACACTGACCAGTCATTCCTTGCCAACTCTTGCCCTCCAGGAATTTATTAGGTTACACTTTATTTCAATAGTCCAATTTAGACATTCTGCTAACTATAAGTAACTATGCAACTACATGTCAACTTACTAACCGTAACCTCACAGTATACTAATACTGTAATGAAAGTTAGTCGTCATGTAGTTGTAAAGTTACTTATTACGTATTTGTAGACTGTTAGGTTAGGGTTAGTAGATTGAGTTGACATTATAGTCAGTAAATAAGTAAATATCAGCATCTGCAGCAAACGGCATATTTGTGCTCAGTTTGGGGAGAATAGCAGAATACAGGGACAGTTTGTCTGCCAACGGGGCCTTATCAGAAACCCCTGATCGGCGTGGGTCGTGTGCGGGAGCGTTATCTCATTGTGCCTGATAATATGCTTATCGCTGGTCCCGACCTCACTGCAAAGTGCCACGGATTTACCGTCCTTGCCATTCAAAGTTTGACGTCCCTCCGACAACTCAAACACGACAAGATCCTTCGTTTTTCTGCAGAGACGCTTCATTCCTGACTCTCCCTCATGACGCTCTGTCCTCTGTGTCTGTGTGTGTGTGTGTGTGTATAATGGGCAACTTGTGTTGTATTAAATTGTGCTATATAAGAAGAAAGATAGCAAGACAGATATAATGTACAGTAGCACTAGGGGTGGGGGAAAAAATCGATTCTTAGATGCATCGCGATGCGGATGTGGACGATTCTGAATCGATTCACAATTGTCAAAAATCGATTTTCAAAAAAAAAAAAAAAAAATTTAGATATATATTTATAATAACGTAATATTGACGGAACGCGAAAGACGGAACTCTGAAGCGCGGAAGTGCAGTGGCCGGACCGTCTGTGGCGTGCACATAACAGACGCGGACGCGATGGCTGAGCGCCAAATCCAAACACCCTCCTCGTTAAAAGCTGACGTGTGGAAATATTTTGGCTTCTGAAGTTGAAGGGGGAAAGGAGCTGGACAAGAGCCACACTAGTTGTAAGCTTTGTAGAGTAAAACTAAAATATTTCGGAAACAAGACACATATGAGAAGCCATATGACACGTTTCCAGCCAGAGGAGGAAAAACACTCGGCTGTAACGTTACCGGTCGTTGTTATATTATTAATTTACTACAAATATGCTGCTGCTAGTTCAGACACACATGTATTTTCCTGTTGGTTCTTTGCAATGTTAATAAAATATATTGTACGTTAATTCTTTATGGGTCATTACTTTGTACTTTTAAAGCAAAGTATTTATAGTTCTACCAGAAAGACTCGGGAGAATAAATACTGTAACAATAAATACATTTATTGATAGCCAAGCAAGCAATAAAGTTCTTTGGCGTAGGCCCCGTCCATAGCTCGCAATCCGAGGGTCCGGACTCTGCATTTCCTGCCTGAAGACGAAGGCAGGGGCGCAGCCGACCCCCTGTGAGGTATAGGAAGGGACCATCCTGGTGGTGGTGGGGAGGATGGAGGGGAAGGGATCCTGGTGGTGGTGGGGAGGATGGAGGTGAATGAAAGCGTCAGCATCTGCGAACTCAGACATGTGTAAGTACTGGTCTTTTATACCGCAAGTATTAGACACGATTGGATAGATGAGAAGGTAATAAGTGACGTAGCAATTGAGTCTTCCCGGCAGAACTTAACGCTAAAGCTTCCATTCACACACACACAAAAAAAAGATTCTGATAATCGATTTAGCATCGAATCGCAGCCCTCTGAATCGTAATCGAATCGAATCGTGAGGTGCCTAGAGATTCCCACCCCTAAGTAGCACTCAAAAATACAGTAAAAACAGTGAAATATTTTTATAATGTAAAATATCTGTTTTCTATGTGAATATACACTAGATCGGTAAGTTCTTTAATGTTTTTAAAATACAAAAAAACCCCAGTAATATTGTTAAATATTTTGACAATTTAAAATAATATAATAATAATCATAAATGTTTCTTGAGCATCAAATCATCATATTAGAGTGATTTCTGAAGTATCATGTGACACTGAAGACTGGAGTAATGATGCTGAAAATACAGCTTTGATCACAGGAATAAATTACACTTTACTAGATATTCACATAGAAAACAGCTGATTTAAGAAGAGATTTCTTTTAAAAACATTAAAAATCTTACAGATCCCAAACTTTTGACTGGTAGTGTACAGTACAATCACAAATCACAAAATATTACTCCAGTGTAATCAGCTGTTTTGTGAATATCTAGTAAAGTGTCATTTATTCCTGTGATCAAAGCTGAATGTTCAGCATCATTACTCCAGTCTTCAGTGTCACATGATCCTTCAGAAATCACTCTAATATGAGGATCTGATGCTCAAGAAACATTTATGATTATTATCAGTGTTGAAAACAGTTGTGCTGCTTCATATTTTTATGGAATCTGAAGTGTTTTCTGCAGATGAACAAACGCTGAATGTTAACTCCAGGCTGAAGTCGTTGCCGTCCCTTATAAATCGTCTCTCTTGTTCACTTTCTCCTTTGAATATACAGTATATATATTGAATATAGAGTTCTTGTGTCTTTAATGCATTTGTTGCCCTGAGCTGAAGCTGCTTTTACGCTTGTTGATAAAACTACAAAGGCTTTTCCCAGGAGGACCTGATTTATTCTCTCTCTCTCTTTCTCCCTCTTTCCCTCTCTCCCTCTCCCCCTCTCTCTCTCTCTCTCTCTCTCTCCACACAAACCTGAATCTTCTCTTCTTGACAAATGTGCCATAATGGAGGCCTTGTTGTGAGCGCGCAGGTTTTAGCCGTCGGGTCACTGGTTTTGAAGAAAGGATTCCTGTGAGGCGAAGAGGAAGGTCTGCTGATGTTTCTCCAGGCGGTTTCCTTCATCTCTGCTGTTGTAGGTAATCGTGTCCATACAGATGCTTCTGAACTGTTGCCCTCTGGAAATGAGAGCAATAAGCAGATAAATCCGAGGTTTCCAGAAACAGACCATGCACTATGAGTTCGAATCTCATGTAGCAGCTTCTGTTTGCTGGTTTAGAAACGTGTAATCGACTCATTTCTTTATAAATCGGGCCGCAGGTGTAGGTTGCCGATGTGTAGAAAGGCCAGGTATAGTAAGAGTTTTGTTCCTGTATCTATACGAGCTCTACATACATAGGAAATTGGCCATTGATACGTCAATTATGTTGTTTTGTTGTGATGTCGGTGACTATTTTGATGGTATTATGATATGTTGATAATTTAACATGTTATGTGTGTTTGTGTTATGTACGCATCTACGGTGGGAAAAAATGTCCTCTTAAGGGACAAATAAAAAATCTATCAATCTATCATTTTGAACTGGTTTGTCTCGTTGCAGATCTTTGACCTGTAGAGCTGAAACGGCACCATGCTGGCGTGTCTTCAGAGACCGAACCAGCCGGCCCGACACCAGCACCAGCCGACCCGACCGCTGACCTGTGCAACACACATCCTGGACACGCTCAGTCACAAGAGTAAGTCTGCCACAAACACCGTCTCTGTCACAGAAGAAAAAAATCATGCTTTTGTAAATCACAAATTAAAACACAAACTTAACATTAAAAAGTTGAAATTGAAACAATAAAAAGTTGCAATTAAAACAATAATTACGACATTACATATAAAGTTGAAATTACAACAGTAAAAAGTCATAGAAATCATAGCAATAAAAAGTTACAACAGTTGAAATTACAACATTAAAAAGTCAAAATTATGACTGTCGAAATTACAACATTAAAAGTCTAAATTATGACATTAAAAGATCTAAAATACAACAGTAAACGTTACAACATTTGACGTTTAAATTACAACATTAAAAAGAGTCTAAATTATGAAATTACAGAAGAAAAAAATCATGCTTTTGTAAATCACAAATTAAAACACAAACTTAACATTAAAAAGTTGAAATTGAAACAATAAAAAGTTGCAATTAAAACAATAATTACGACATTACATATAAAGTTGAAATTACAACAGTAAAAAGTCATAGAAATCATAGCAATAAAAAGTTACAACAGTTGAAATTACAACATTAAAAAGTCAAAATTATGACTGTCGAAATTACAACATTAAAAGTCTAAATTATGACATTAAAAGATCTAAAATACAACAGTAAACGTTACAACATTTGACGTTTAAATTACAACATTAAAAAGAGTCTAAATTATGAAATTAAAACGTCTAAATTCCAACAATAAAAAGTTTAAATTATGACGGTCGAAATTACATTAAAAAAGTCTAAATTTAGACATTAAACGTCTAAATTACTATAGTAAAAAGTTGAAATTACGCTAGTAAAAAGTTATAGAAATCATAACAATAAAAACTCGAAATTACAACATTAAAAAAGTTGAAATTATGACAGTAAAAAGTCATAGAAATCATAGCAATAAAAACTAATAAAAATTACAACAGTCGAAATTACAACATTAAAAAAGTCTAAATTATGGCATTAAAACGTCTAAAATATGACAATAAAGTTTAAATTATGACAGTAAAAAGTTTAAATTACAACAGTAAAAAGTCAAAATGACAGTAGAAATTATGACATTATAAAGTAGAAATTATAACAACACAGTCAAAATTGCAAATAATGAAATTCAAAATTTAAATAATGAAATTACGACTATAAAAAGTTGTAATTACGAAAGTTGCTATTGACATTAAAAAGTCCAAATTAAGGCATTAAAAAGTTTGAAATTATTACAGCAAAAAGTCCAAATTACGACAGTAAAAAGTTGAAATGGACAGTAAAAAAATCTAAATTCTGACAGTTTTATGTCTGAGTGGGGCAGTTACCCAGCGGCGGCGCGCTCAGCCCTTCCCCTGGACGATCCCTATCAGATCGTCCTCATCAAACCCATCGCCTCTTTAATCGAATCCGTGACGCCTCGTCCAAGGGCAGATCCAGACTCAAAGGCTTGTAGATATTAATGCAAATATTATTATCCAGTATTGTGCATCAACAGCCAGAGTGCACCGTTGTATCAGCACTTTTGCTTTGTGTGAAAGATAAAATCATAGTAATAAAATCTGCTTTGAGTTTATAATCTAAGTTTTATGCAGTTTCACCATTTTTCTGCTTTATTTATTTTACGCTTTTAACCAAAATGACATTCAAATAAGGAATTCATATATTTATGCATTAATTTATTTTAAGCATGTACACATTATTTATTTATTTTCAAGCATTTATTGATTTATTTATGCATTTATTTATTTTTATTAATTTATTGTTTAAGCATTAATGATATATTTTGTAACTCAACAGAGTTAACTTTATACTGATCTATTGTAAGTATTGAACCCTGTGATGACCGCTACTGTCCGCACACATCTGAGCGTTCGTTAGACTCGTCTCTGTCTTTAATATCGCTTTATTTATGTGCTTCCACTGAACGGTGTTTACATTAATCACGCTACTGAATGATTGTCTGAGCCGTGATGATCCGGATCTCGTGATTTCTGTGTGATTTTATGATGATTTGTGTGTATCCGTCCATTGTGCAGAAGTGTGAGAGTTTCTAACCTGCTCTCCTGGTTGAGTTCAGACTCTTTGTCTGTGTTGTATGAAATATTAATTTTGAGTGAGAGGAGTGTTTGTGAGCTAAGCGCTGGAACAGAAGGGTCGTGTGAAGCATCAACACACGCTTTCCTGAACGTTCCTCTTCATCTCGATTCATCTCGTCCTGCAGACGCGTGTCCCAACAACCCAACATGCTCATCCCTGTCTGAGGAGTTCAGTGTGTGTGTGTGTGTGTGTCGTTTTCAGCTGAACGGACAAGAGTCTGGAGTCAAAATATGTAGTAAGAAATAATACCAAAATAATAAACAGACTGCACAATGTAGACTAATTCACAAACAACTACTCTTTTCGGCTGTTTTCATGAAACGGTAAAAAAGAATTAGTTTGAATCACTCTAATGTCTCATTTTCTCACTGAATCAGTCATTGTATGTTTTTAATGAATCGCTTGTCGAACTCAAAGGCTTGTAGATATTAATGAAAATATTCATATCAATAGAACCAAACACTGTATCTTTTGTTTCAAAATGAGATTGATTTCAAAAAGTCACTTAATACAGGAGTGTGGATTCAGATGGCTGAAATATAAAAGATATATTTTGTGTTAATGTTAAATTACATACCGTAGATTAATAACTAAACTCTTTATTCATGCATTTATTTATTTATGCATTTATTTATTAATTTTTGCATGCATTTTTGATGCATTTCGCATGCATTTAATTATTAAATTATTTACGCATTTATTATTCATTTATTTACATATTTATTTTTTGCCATTTTGAATGCATTTATTTATTCATGTATTTATGCATTTTTACATGCATTTATTTATTCAATTATTTATGCGTTTTTGCATGCGTTTTTTGCATTTAAAACTGTAATTGTGTTGTGTTGGACTTAAAAGGATAGTTCACCCCAAAATTATTGTAGTCTTTATTTACACTTCATTTCAAACTTGTAAGTCTTGTTTTTTCTGTTTAACGCAAAAGATATTGGGAAAAATTTGTATTATCCGAAAGTGTAACTCAATAGGCTCCAATGTTTTGTATAATATCTTCTGTTCCAAACAAAGAAAAAGTCTTAGATTTGTGTGCTGTGACCCTTTAAACTCATGGTTCTAGCATCAACAGAGGGCTTGAGCTGATCAAACGCAATGCAAGTGTCTGACAAACGCATTCATGTAAATGCAAGGCTTTAGTGCTTCCCTCACGGTCAGATGTGAAGTGGTGTGTGTGTGTGTGTGTGTGTTCTCCTGATGAATGAGCTCAAACCCTGAAGATCATTCAGTTCCTGAGAGCCACACGTGACTGTAGAACGAGTGAAAGAGACGGCCCAGATGAGTGGACGAGAAATCACATATGCAGAGATTCCTCTGAGATTCATGTGGCTTTGTATTAATGTGTGTTAATATTAATAATGCGAGAGATGTCTGAAGAGTCTAGACTAAGATCATTAGATTTGTCTCCGCTGTTGTGTAGCTTTAATGGAATACTTGAGCTAATGATGAATATATCTGTCATTATTTCCTCACTCTAAACCCATATGCTGTGAACACTTGGACTTGAAATCTGAAAAGTCATACTGTTGAGACACACACACACACACACACATACACACACACACACACTTTCATGTTTACGTAGCTATCTAAATGGGGACATTCCATAGTCGTAATGGTTTTTATACTGTACAAACTGTATATTCTGTCCCCTACCCATCACACACAACTTTCTGCATTTCTACATTTAAAAAAATAATATTTATTACTTTATTTTTATACAGATTTATAAACGAGGACGTCCCTAAATGAGGTTTTTGGAGATTTTGTCAGGTTTTGGTCACTTCTGGGTACAAATTTGTCCTCAAACCATAGTTAAGTAGGAACACACACTCTCACACACACTTACGCACTCACTCACTCACACACACACTCATACTCTCACACACACTCACTCACTCACTTACTCACACACACTCTCACACACACTTACGCACTCACTCACTCACTCACTCACTCACTCACACACATGCACTCACTCACACACACACTCATACTCTCACACACACTCATACTCTCACACACACTCACACACTCATACTTACACTCACTCACTCACTCACTCACTCACTCACTCACTCACTCACTCACTCACTCACTCACTCACTCACACACTCACACACTCACACACTCATACTCTCACACACACTTACACTCACTCACTCACTCACACACACACTCATACTCTCACACACACTATGGTTTTGGATGGAGTCTCTAGTTGGAGTGTGTTTTCTGAGTTTGTGTGTTGAATGTCACAAAGCTGGAGACGTTGTGTGTGTGTGTGTGTGTGTGTGTGTGTGTGTGAGTGAAAGATCTCCATCTGTTAGTCCTTCCTCTCGGTAAACGAGTCCGTCTGCGTGAGTATTAGCGGTTTGTCAGTCTCTCAGTCTGCATCAGGTGTGTGCGTGTGTGTGTGTGTGTGTGTGTGTGGAGTTAATTATCTGCGTGTTAATTGAGATTTCTTCACCTCGTCCTCATGATCGAAGGCTTGTCGAACACTGAGCGCTTCTTCGGCTGAGGAACATCACATGTGCGTTTACTCAGCTAATAACTGCGTCTTGATTGCTGTGTGTGTATATCTGAAGGGTTTGTGTGTAATTACTGAAGGTCAGGACGCTAATTACCTCTTCATAACCAACTAACACTTACACACGGGGTTTTAGGGCATTTCTACACCTGTAGTTTGTTTGCTTTGTTCTGAAACAGCGACTGTTGCATTTTCTTCTTGCTTTGGTTCACTTGCTCAAGGCAACATTGCCTAAATGTTTAGGTCACATGTGAGTTAAACTGTCCTCTCATTGGTCTACATGCTCCTCAGTGTCATCCATCAAGGTGGAGATGTATTACGTTGAGGCGTACAATAGCTTGTCACCGGGTCAATATTTG